GGAGATGGAGGCAGAAGCTTCTGGTTGGTGAGGCTCCCGCGTGATGGCCACCTCTGGGACTTGGGCTGGCTCTGCCTCCAGGGATCCAGGCTGGACGGGAAGCTCTGTGGCTGGGAAAGCAGGGAGGCCAGGCACGTGCGCCAGCCAGAGGACAGGAAGGGTCCTCGTGCTGTGGGGACATTGCACATCTTGACCAAATCAATGGTATCTTAGTGGTGTTGGTCTCACAGGCCATTGCTACTGGGGACACGGGGTCAAGAGCACACGGCGTCACTCTTAGTCTTACCACTGCATGTGAGTCTGTGGTCATCTCAACCTAAAATGGCCTTTTTAAATCAGGAGGGTTGTAAAGGGGGGAAAAGCACCTAAGTGCGTTCTGAGGACTCCAAGCTGCCCGTGCTCAGGGGTGTCTCGTTCTGCACCTGGACTCCCGGTGCCCCCCAGTCCAGCACCACCTCCTGCTCTCAGCTGGGCCCCTGCTGGGGGACCAGGAAAATGCATCTGAAAGTACTATGTGGCTACCACCAGAGCTTCCGGAAAACCTCTGCTCAGCTGAAAGTCACCATCCCCATGCCCGAGGGCTCTGGGACAGGATAAGACTAAGCAGGCCTTCTCTCTCCTTCTGCAGGGTAATCAGGACGCCACGGCTCCTCCTGAAGCGATGGCCCAGCCCTACCCCCCTGCCCAGTACCCTCCTCCGCCGCAGAATGGTATCCCCGCTGAGTACGCCCCACCCCCACCACACCCCACGCAGGACTACTCGGGCCAGACCCCGGTGCCCCCGGAGCATGGCATGACCCTGTACACACCAGCACAGACCCACCCAGAGCAGCCGGGCACAGAGGCCAGCACACAGCCCATTGCTGGGACCCAGACAGTGCCGGTAAGTGTCCTTCGCCCCCCGGGCCCAGCCCAGGAGTAGCAGGAGGGGTGCCCCCAGAAGGGGGTGGCTCAGGAGGGCAGAGGCAAACGGGTGGGGGGTCTAGCAGGGGACGCCTGTCCAGGCCCTGGTCCAGGGGTCCTCATCCCTGCAAAGACACTCCCAGCCTGGGCTTCACAATCATCAGCTGGCACCAGGAGACAGGTGGTGAGGATGCAGGGACAGCGGCCCCCCTGCCCACCTCCAGCTGTCTCTGGCTTCCAGGAGCCTCTCAGCTCACCTGGGAGGTGGGAAGCCCATCCTCCGCTACCAGAGACCTGTTCATGGAAAGCGAGGGAGATGGTGGGGGCCAGAGGCCTGGTCGTGGGGTCTCAGGGGCACGCCAGCGTGGGTGAGGGGAGGCGGCGGGGCTGTCTGGCGCGCTGGCCCCTCCTATCATTTCTAATCACTTGTAATCTACCTGCTTGGCCGCCCGCCAATCAGATAGCTTCAATTATGTGGTTGTAATGCAGCTGGAGCAAAAGTGCTGATCCTGGCACTTCTCAGATTTCCTGATGGAGCAGGAGCTGGTGAGGAGCAGTCGCACCCCACGGCTCCCTGTCCCGGCAGCCCCTCCCGGAGGCCAGGCCCCCCAGGCCCCGCCTGCTCCATCCTTCGCTGGCCTCTGGACAGCATTCTGCTCAGGGCTGTGGGTTCACCCGACTGCCCCTGCTGGCTCCCTCCCAGCAGCTGGCCCTGTGAGCTGGCAGGGCCTGGCCAGAGCAGGGCGGCACCGCCCTGGCGCCTCCGAGGGCCCCCAGCTGCACTCCCCGGCCCTTCCCCCTCCTGGGCTGGCTCCCAGGATGCTGTGCACATCCAGTGTCACCCTCTCCTGCCCGAGATGGCCTCCAGTGTCACCCAAGCTCTCTGTGGAGAGCCCACGCAGCTGCCCCCTGGGCTGTCAGGCCTTTCTGTCCTCCCTGGCCTGCGGGTGCCAGATCCTCCCCAGAGTTCCTCCAGCCGTCAGCCACAGACAGAGAAGGCCAGACCCTGGGCTCCTAGAACTGGGAGCCAGACCATACCTCCTGGGTCACCCTGGCCTGATCCATCCAACCCTCACCTACGTGTGCTCAGAGAGGTGGCCCCCGAGCCAGAGAGGCCCACCGAGAGCAAGTCGTGGCCAGGTGGCCCAGCTTTCTTCTGATGGACCCGCAGACAAGGCCCACCTGGCTGAATCGCCACTTCTCCTTATGAACAAACGGGAGACCCTGGTGCTGAGCCTCAGCTTCGCCTGGAAGGAAGCAGGGGCTGAGACAGGCGGGGTTACGGGTGACACCAAGTGGGGACTGAGGGCTCATAGCTGAGAACGGTCAGGAGCCCTGCAGCCTCGGGACAGCCCGGGGCCACCACAGACACCACCACCAGGACCTACGTAAAGGCCTCTGTCATTGCTCATTCACCCAGACATTTGCTGAGCACCACTGTATGCCAGTCTCTGAATTAACTCTGGGGTACAGAGAAAAAATGACCAGCCTTGTCCTCTGGCCACCACCAGTCAAGGACAAAAACATCAGAAAGGGGCCTGGCTGCATGGGAGGACCCCAGCGCCAGCCACGATGGCCCACAAGGATCCTACTGCATCCAGAGTGGTAGTCCCGCCCAGAAAGGCCAGCCTCGCTGCTCAGGGGTTGGGGTGCCTCCTGAGGAGCACACCTGGGCCAGAGAAGACAGGAGCCAGAAGAGCGGGCAGCCTTGGCCTTCCTCCCTGGGGCTGGGTCCCTTCGGGTCCTACAAAGTGGTCAGGGTGGAGGTGCACGGGTCTTTCATGCTGGGATGCAAAGGAGAGAGTTATTCTGTGACCTGGGGCCAAATGCAGGCTGCAGGAGGGAGGGACTGGCCCACGCCTCTGGGGGCCTGAGCCCAGGACCTTGGAGCACTCACGCAGGAGAAGCCTGCCACCTCGGGAGGGAGCCTGAGCGGATGGCACATGCCGTCTCTGCTGGCCCAGGGTTCGAGGAGCCGGCTCCCTCCCAGGGAAGCTGCCTGGTGCTGGCATCTGCCTGCATCCTGTCCTGGCAGATGTGGGGACACTCTTTCACTCACCTGAGCCTCCTCTTGGCTTCCCCAAGCCTGGTTTTAGGGTGCAGGGCGACAGGGCTGGCCGCAGGGGCGGGTGCCAAACCTTGGCCTGAACCTCATTTCTCCCGCCAGGTCCCACTTCCCTTGAGCTCCTGGGAGGGGGCCACCCTGTGCCTGGTCTCTTCTTTCCCTCCACTCAGTGCTCCCCGGGTCCCCTCCTAGGTGCCTGCTCTCAGTGCCAGGTCAGGACACTCAGCCCCTGGCCCTGCCACAAGCCCAGATGTGGCAAAGGCACCGGGCCTCCCTGCCCTGCCCTGCCCTGGAGGGATGTCCTTCTGCAGGTGAGAGCACCTGGCCTTGGGCTGTCCAGGGCCGGAGGGAGGCGCATTCTGAAGGGCTTCCAGGTACCCGGCAGTCAGCCACCCAGAGCCCCTGAAAAGTGGCCTCTGGAAGTCCGGACCTGCCAGACCCGGGGTGACGCAGGAGGCCTGTTGTGGCCCGGGACCCATGGGCGTGTGGGTACAGGGCTCTCTCAGGGTGCAGTTCCTCTGCTGCCGCTCCCCACGCCAGCTCCCCAGGGTGCCACAGGGCTGAGGCTCAGGGAAGGCTTTCCTAGGGTTTCTGGCCCCACCAGGCTCTTCCTCCTCCTCTCTCAGGAGGCTTCCTGCTGGGAATTGGGGGGTCCATGTTCCAGCCAACTCAAAGCCCTCTGGACACCTCCACCACCCAGGAGAGAGGCACGAAGACCCCAGTCTAATCCCATGGAGGGGGCAGAGGCCAGGAACCCCATCGATGACCCGTTGTGATTGCCAGCTGCCTTGGCTCCAAGGGTCCCCAGGGCAGAGCTTGTGCTGATTTCCCAAGTCTCAGTGGGCCCAACAGGTCCTTCCCTGTGACAGCTCCTCTAGTCTGCAAGGGGACCTCTGCCAAGGGACCTCCGCTCTGGCAGAGCCCCTCTTCTTCCTGTGGAGAAGGCCGTCTGTCTGGAAGTCCCGCACCCGGAGCTCCTGCGCCCGGGTCCGCATCTCACACTGTTGTCACCAGGACACCGCGGCACTCTGTGGACAGAGGACAGCCCGGGGTGCAGAGGGGTGCTGCAGGGGGACCCTAAGATGGCAGATGCCCCCAGGATTCACTCCTTCATTCACTCAAGGTCATGTGAGTGTGGCGGCGCAGGGGGACCTAGAGGGGTCCCCCGTGTTTGTGCTTAAGGGCACCTCAGCATGTCAGAGAAACTGATGTGCAGATAGAACATGCCGGAAGAGTGCACCTGCACCAGAGGGCTGGGGCTCGCCGGGTGGAGGCAGGTGGAGGAAGGTGGACGATGGGCCGCTCCTCCAGGAGCCGCAGCCTCGGGTCCCTGCCTTCTCCACTCCAGGGCAGTGGTGGATGTTGGCAGGAGGGTGGTTGAGAACGGCAGGGGGGAAGAGGAGTCAGCCCCACACCGCCCCACGGCCGCTCAGCCACGAAGCCACTCTCCAGGCTGGAGCGGGCGGGGGTGGGCGATGCAGCCACCACCACGATGCCACAAGTGCAGAGGCCAGCAGCGGTGCTGGGAAGAGGTGGTCGTTCAAAGGCCGAGCAGGAGCACTGGGCACTGCCAGAGGAGGGGCGGCCAGCTCCCTGGGCTGAAGAAGGCGCTCCTGGCCACGGCTGGAGGCCACGTGCAGAGGCCCCTCCTCCTCAGCGACTGGGGCCCACAGGGAGAGCCAGGCCGTCCACCGGAGCCGATGGCAGGGTTGTTGACAAGGGCCCAGCAGGTCCCTGGGGGAACAGGGTGTCAGAGATGGGGCTGCGGAGAAAGCTCTCCACAGGTTCATCCTGTGCCACATCAGCAGAGCTTGGCTCTGTCCCCATGTAGGGGCTGCGGGGTCCTGCGGGGTCCTGCCCAGGGCCTTCTTTCTCTGTCTGCCTCTCTCTGCTGAGCTCAGTGAGGCCCAGGCCAAGGGGGTGCACGCTCCTCGGGGTGTGGGAGATGCACTGCACGGCGCCCAGACCCCCCCCAGCCCACAGGAGCTGACTCCTGGCCTCGAGTGGGTGGAGGCCCGAGGGGGAGGCTCCATAATTGATGGGACGAGACCCAGTGATGAGGCGACCCCGAAGCAAAGCCACCCCACTCCCGGGGGCGGGGGACACTGCTGTAGTCTCCCGTCTCCCTACGTTGGAGAATGGAAGCACAGATTGCTCTAAAAACAAGTGGGGGAGCCCCAGAAAGCCGCGGGGAGGAGACGCGTGAGCCGCTGTGATAGATGGTGGGCAGGCCTCCATCCCGCGCAGGGGCAGGGCAGCGTGCAGTGAGGCCCGGGCTTCTCAGCACCCCTTACAGTTTACAGTCCCTGCGCCCATCCATCTGCCTGTCCACAGCTTAGCTAAGGGCGGGGCAGGCGGGGGGCTCTTCCTGAGCCCCGGCCCCTCACGGCTCACACCATGTGCATGCCCCTCCCTCCTTCTCTCCTGACCTGTGCCCTTTCAAAGCCTTTGAGGTGGGGTGTGGTGGTCCAGTCACCCCAACTTCTTCAGCGCCAGTCCCAGGCCCCCCGGCCTTCTCTGGGGAGGGCTTCCAGGATCCTCCTGGTAGCACATGGCTGCGCTGACCCATGCCCTCTGGTGGTCCAAAGCCAGCACTGCATGTCCCTATCCAGGCTGGATGCCCAAATCCAGGACACGGGTACCAAGAGCTGCTGTGGAGTGCACGGGGAGGGGCGCACTCCATGACAGGCCCCGTACAACACCTGCCGTGGCCACACAGTGAGACTAGACCTATGCAAGGCCCTGGCATGCTTGGGCAGTGCTGCTTCCTGGGCAAGGCCCGCGACGGCGGGGGCAGCAGCACTGGAAGCTGGGTGTGGGCCTTCCAGGCCTTCAGGAGGAGCCCGTGTGCACTCAGAGCCCAAGTCTGCTGCCCTGCATTGCCCCACAGAGTGGGGCTGTCAAGCAGGCCGGGCTGGCAGTCTCCAGAGGTTTGACACCCCCACCCCGCCAACTCTTCCTGCCACGAAGCCGTCCACCCCACGTGCAGCCCCATGGATGAGCTCCTGGGTTGACCTTTGGCCCAGCTTGCCAAAGCCCAAGGCCCTGCCCACTCCAAGAACCTGGCCACTCAGCCCCTCAGGGGAGGCAGTCCAGGTGACAGGAGACCAGGGTATAAGCTGATGGCACTGGGCTGGGGGCACCTGGCTGCAGCCGCCCTGACCTGTGTGTGTGCCGTGTGCTCATCTGCCAGCGCAGGAAGGCATGGTGTGCAGGGGACAATGTGTCCCTACCCTGCAGGCTCCCACCTCCTGCTAGGCTCCATGGGCCATCACCAGGGCCCTCTGCAGCTTAGGAGGTGCAGACTTCCGGTCACCTAAGGCCTCCAGCTGCCCTGAAGCCTGGTCAGAGGCCTCCTGTTGAGCTCAGGAGTGTGAGTGAGTGGCCCAACCTACCAGAAAGGGGACAGAGAAAGCCAGATAGCCACCCGAGTCCATTGCCCCTTAGCTGCCCTGTGGCCTGAGGGGGGCCCTACCTCCTGGGCTCCATTTCCCTGACTGCGTGTAAGGCCTCAGCCCCACTCACCGTCCACTCCAGGCGACAGCCCTGAGCAAACCAGGTGCTTCCTGGGGACCCTCTCTGGGTGTCTCTGGCCAGCTTTTCCCCTGCTCTGCCAGGCTGGCTGCCTCTGCTCCTAGGGCCACCCGGGAGACCATGGCCACCAGCACCTCCACTTGTTCCAACTGCAGGCCTCCTGGCACCCTCCACCCACAGAGGCCCAGGGTGGCTGGAGCCAGACACCCCGACCCCAGTGCCATCAGCTGGTACCTGTCCCAGAAGCAAGTCAGAGATCCAAGTGCAAGCCACGTGTCTGGAGGGGGTCCCCCAAAATCGCAATGACCAGTAGGGAGTTGGGGCAGGAAGGGAGCTGAGCCAACGAAGGGCGGGTCCTCAGCCTGCTGTCCCCATGGCTGGGTGCCCCTGTTGCCCACCACTGTGGACACTCCACTGCAGTGCTGCCCACCACCTGAGCAGAGCAAGGTGCAAGGCTGGCTGGCTCTCTGTGGCCTGGGGTGTGAGTGTGACTGGCAGGTGAGGCCTCAGGCCTGGTGTCCAGGACCGGAGCTCACTATCTGCCCTGGCTTTTGTGGGTGCATCTGCACTGAGCCAGGTTGGAGGCCAGCCTCGTGGTGAGCTCGTGGCCTGTCCACCAGATGCAGGCAAGGCTTCTTTCATGCTGCCTCAGGATGCCTGGGCTTCTAACTGGGAACTGTGAGGGGAGGGCTGGCGCATGGGCAGCTTGTTTTCTGAAACTCAGTCCCTTCAGAGCCCCGGTGCTGGCCAGCATTTGGACCTACATGAGGACCAACTCTATGGGACAGACTGCTGTCAGGCTTTCAGATGGGTTCCTAGAGGGCCCCCAGGTCCTGAGTGGCAGGAGCTCGCCATGAGAGGCATTTACAGATACCTGTGCCCAGAGGCCTGGTTCTGAAGTCTATCTGGCGAGACAGCCGAAGGGTCTCTACACCCCCAAAACATCCTTGAGAGCAACAGTGCTCACTGGACTGAGTGGCCATTGAGGTTTCACCTCTGTGGTCAGGCCTGAGCAGAGGAGCTCACAGCAGACGGCCAAGGAGGCCTGGCGCTGGGATGGCAGGAGGGAGCTGGCCTGTGCCTCTGGGCAAAGTCTCAGAGGTGGGTTTTCGGACGTGGAGATGCCGAAGTGTGGGAACTCGGCCCAGATCCCCGGTCTGGGCCCAGGCACGGGACAGCCTGCTGCAGACGGGGTGAGCAGGCCCCTCCACAGCCAGGTCCTCTCCCCGCAGCAGGCAGATGAGGCGGCACAGACGGACAGCCAGCCACTCCACCCCTCCGACCCCACAGAGAAGCAGCAGCCCAAGCGGCTACACGTCTCCAACATCCCCTTCCGGTTCAGGGACCCCGACCTGCGGCAAATGTTCGGGGTGAGTGTGCCAGGGCCCGTCTATCCCTGCCAGCCTGCACTCAGCCCGGGTGCCAAAGCAGCTTCCCGGTGCGGGTGGAGAGGTTCCAAGAGTCCTTCCTGAGGAGGTCCAGCTGGCTGGACCTGTGGGGCAGGGCAGGAAGAGGGTCTTTTGTGACTACCCCTGTCCCCCACTGTCCCCACTCCTCACCAGAAGTCCGCCTTCCACCCACACCACCTGTCTTCAGGAACTTGTGGAGTCCCCTGGTTTGGTCATCTGCCATCTAACTCCTGTCCCCTAGCACCTGGCACCTGCCGGCCAGCCCGGCCTCTGGCCTCACACAGAGCAGCAGCCCCAAGCAAGACCTCCCCTGGGTGCCTGGGGACAGGGTGCGCCCTCTCTCTGAGCCTGTCAGGCAAACAGGAGGTGCCTCCCAGCTGCCCAGAGACGGTCAAACCCCAGTCCCCAGCCCAAGGTGACCATGGAAGTCCACTCCCTGCCTCCTTGACGTGGACCCAGACTTGCTGAGGGCTGAAATGATTCAGAATTGGGGGTGTGAGCACCCTGCATCCTCCCGACCTCGGGGCCTAGGGCTCTTCTCTGAGCCTGTGCCTGGGTAGGGCCACTGACAGTGCTGAGCTCTCCCCAGCCCGGGCCCTCGGCGGCGTCTGCTTGCTGGGTCCCTTTAGTGCAGAGACAATGTCCTGTACTTTCCAGAACCTGAGAGATGGGGGGCTTGCTGCGCTGGCTCGCTGGGCCTCCAAGGCTCTTGTCCAGCGCCTGGGGCTGCTCAAGGGGAAGGGGACCCGGTCAGTTGCCGGCATGGGTGACAGGTTGAGCCCCCGAGGACCTGGTGGGTGTTCAGGGACCTGCTCACAGGCCCATGGCCTCACATACCAGTGAGACAGGCGCCCACGGGGACTTCAGCTGGTGACGGTGCAGGAAGGGGCAGCCAGAGTGTCCTGGCTGACGGCAGTGTGTCCTACACAGGGGCCTGGGCTCTGGTCCCCGCTGCTGTGCTCCTGACATAGCCCGGCCCACCCAGCGCAGGCAGTGCAGGGTCCTGCAAGGCCCCCGTGTGAGGCCCTGGACCCCCTCCCTGGTCCCTCTGCCCTCTCTCCCCCCTCTTCCCCTCCTCAGCCTCCTCCTCCTCCCACCACCCCTCCTCTCCTCCTCCCCATCTCAGGGAAGCCTGAGGGTCCCTTTCCCAGCCCAGGGTCCTGATGCTGTCACCTCACCACCCCCTCCCCATCTCACCTGTGGAGAGGGGCCCCAGTGACCTTTATTACCAGTGAGGGACTGCTGTGATGCCTTGGGCGTCCCTCCCCACATGGCCATGTCCCAGAGGACCCTGGTGATACAGCACCCCCCCTCCCCAGTCCAGCCTACAGCGGCCAGTACCCTGCACTGCCCCTCAAGAGGAAGACCCGGGCCTCCGGGAGGGGGTGTAGAGGGGGAGGGGCCCTGGGGCTCTGGTTTCGCAGCCTGGGGGCGGCTCTGGAGCAGAGTGGACGGTCCTAACCCTCTCTCCTGTCCCTGCCCTCCCCTCTGCTTCTATCTCTGCAGCAATTCGGGAAAATTCTAGACGTGGAGATCATTTTTAATGAGCGGGGCTCCAAGGTGGGTGCCACGCAGAGGCCGCCACCATTACCGCGCCAGCTGTAGGTCCTGCCAGGCTAACTGTGAAATGTGCGTTTCCTTCTGGAGAGCTTCGCGCCCGAGGACCCCGGGCGACACGGGTGCTTGTCTCCCCGCGCTCCCACCCGCCCCCAGCTGTCTGTGTTGTTGCTGCCGCTGCTTTTTCTCTCTGAGCTGCCGGGACCCTGGCCTGCACCCCAGCGCCCCACCCTGGGCCTGGGTCCCCCCACCCTCCACTCACCCCCAGGGCCGCAGACCTGCCCTGGGAGATGGCCTGGAGGCTGGGGGAAGGGGCTGCAGGGTGGGCCAGCTGGGAGGGTGCCCGGCAAAGACCAGCCCTGTTGCCCCTCCAGAAGGCGAGACCCCCACCCCAGGCTCCTAGGGCAGGGGTGGGTGGGCTGCTTCCCCGTGTCCTGAAGCCCAGCCCTGGCCCCCGCCTGAGGAGGGGCTGGGGTGCAGGCCTGGCCCCTGGCCAGGTCAGCATCTCTCGTAGCTCGGGCCTCTCCCCTTGGACGGGCAGGCCATCAGCTCCAGTCGGGCTCAGGCCGGGCAGCAGCTGCCCCCGCTCAGGGCCCACACGCCCCGTGCATCCCGCGGTGGCACCAGGACAGACCTCTGGGCCGCCCGAGGCTCTCCGACTCTCCTGACTCGGCCCTCTCTCCCCCTCCCCCTCGCCCTCCCCCGTGCCCCTCCCCACTCCTCTCTTCCCCCTTTTCTCATCCTGTCTTCTCTCGTGTCTGTCCTCCTCTGCTCACAGGGTTTTGGGTTTGTAACTTTTGAAACTAGCTCAGATGCTGACCGAGCCCGGGAGAAGCTGAATGGGACGATCGTAGAGGGACGAAAAATTGAGGTGCTCAGATAAGTGTGCTGCGCCAGGGAGGTCGCTCTGGGGCCCCGCCAGCCCGCCGCTGGCCGCCCAGCAGAACCCCACCAGGGTCCACTGAGGCCGGAGCCCCATGGCTGGCCTCTGGCTGAGCCCACTGCCTGGGCTTCAGGCTCCCCAAGGTCCCTCCCCTCCCCCTCCTTCCACTTCCCCGGAGAGCCCTGTCCCCAGCCAGGCTCCAGGAAGCCCCAGAAACTGTGTTTGAGGCTTAGCAACTTGAAGCAGAGTGGCTGCCTGTCTGTCCCCATTGGCAGGCGGCCGACTCCACCCAGGAGCTGACTCCAGGCCCTTCTCAGCAGGGAGCAGAGCTGCCCCTGCCCACCCCGACACAGGCCCTGTACTGTGCCCCTGGGTCCCTGGGCCTTCACTCCCAGCTCTTGCTGGATACAGGCAGAGGCAGCAGCAAGTGACCCGAAGGGCAGCCAGGGCCTCCCAACCCCACCTCTTGCTGCCCACTTCCCCTGCCTCAGTGGCTCTGGTGGTCCCCAGCTAGGTTCCAGACAGGCAGGGCCTCCAGGAGAGGCTGGAGGCCGGAGGCAGCTAAGGAGGAGCCCACGGGTAAGAGGAGGGAGGTTTCAGAAGCCAAAGGTGTTCCGTGGGCTCTGAACCAGCAGTGCCCATGGGCTCC